TTTGTTTTTTTACAGTGTCCTTTGGTTTTTCTTTTTTGTGTTTTTTTGCGTTTTCTTCCTCTAAGTATTTTTTTTTTTTTTTTTTTTTAATATGAGTAGCATACTAACTTCTTCTTTCTTTTTTTTTTAGGTTCTAGACTTCCTTCTCGTTACTTTCGGCATTCATGGTGTTGATCTTCAAAATGGACCTTTGGTTTCGCTTCCCGGTGTCTTTTGGCATTCTTTTCCTATAAGTATTATTGTTTTTGTTTTTTTTTTTATGAGTAGTATACTAACTTCTTCTTTTTTTTCTTTTAGGTTCTAGACTTCCTTCTCGTTACTTCGGCGTTCATAGTGTTGATCTTCAAAATGAACTTTCGGTTTCGCTTCCTGGTGTTTCTTGGCGTTCTTTTCCTATAAGTATTCTTGGGGGAGTTTTTTTTTTTAATCTGAGTGGCATATTAACTTCTTTTTTCTTTTTCTTTTAGGTTCTAGACTTCCTTCTCATTACTTTTGGTGTTCATGGTATTGATTTTTAAAATGGACCTTCGGTTTCGCTTCCTGGTGTCTCTTGGCGTTCTATTCCTATAAGTATTCTTGGTTTTTTTTTTTTTTAATATGAGTAGCATACTAACTTCTTCTTTCTTTTTTTTTTAGGTTCTAGACTTCCTTCTCATTACTTTCGGTGTTTATAGTGTTGATTTTCAGAATAGACCTTCGGTTTCGCTTTCCGGTGTTCTTTTCTTATAAGTATTTCTTTTTTTTGTTTTTTTTTTTTAGTTTTAAATATATATAATAGCATACTCACTTCTTCTTTTTATTTCAGGTTTTTGCTTACTTTAGATACTCATAGTGTAGATTTTGGATAGAATTGCTGTTGAAGTTGCCGCCAGAATTGCTGTTGGAGCCATCGTTGGTCGCTATTGAAGTTGCTGCCGAAATTGATGCCGAAAATGTGAGAATGAACTTGACACACAATAATCGAAAAATTCTTTAAAGTTTGTTTATAATCGAATTAATGCTTATATTAGGGTTAGTTTTTAGACAGAAGGCAGTTTCTTATGAAAATGTTTGAGAAATAAGCGATTTTGATTTTTTCTGATCATGTTATGTTACATCAAATTTGAAATTTATTATTGCTGTATTGATGGTTAGGGTACTTTGTTAGGGTTAGAGTTTTATTTGGCTAAATTTATATTTTTATATTTAGCATATAGAATATAAATTTTATTTTTTTAAATAAAAAATTTTAATTTATATTATATAAATTTAATTCTTTAATGATAAATATAGTTTATACCAACAAGTCTTTGATAACCCAATATGTATCCGGTTTTAGAGAAACATAGAATACATATCAGGTTTTCTATATTACAAATCAGATTACCGATATGGCATTGATATGGTGTCAATATTTATCCAATAGGTATCCTATACTAGCCAAATCTCTGTTTGAAATCAGAAACATATCGGTTAATTATAGGACGAAAATATCAGGGTAATAATAGTGTACTTTAGAATATATATCATGTCCTATTGGCATGCCAATATTGCCCTGATATGTCTTAGTTTGACCTGTATTATACAGTAATGATTTAGTAAAAATTCTTCATATATCCACCTTATATGAACTAGATAAAATAGATGCTCTTGCTAAGGACCTTATAGTACAAGATCCAAGCAGAATCACAATATATAAAATGATTTTATATAGTTAAATCTGAGATGCACTTAAAAAAAGTAGAGAATTATTTACAAGAAAGCACAATTTAGCAATAGGCAGTTAGAGCTAAAATAGCAAGAACAAACTTGTCTTCAATAGAATATATTACAAGTATGAATAAAGAAGAGATTAAAAAAAAGAAAGTAAAATAGAGAAAATAGAGAAAAATGGTCCAATAGAGAAATCATAGTTATTAGGACTGAAAAAAAGAAGCTCTTCTGAAAAGAAAGCTAAAACAGATAAAGATATAAACCAGGTTGTCGAACAGATGCAAGATTTAAGTATCAAAATAGAACAACAAATATTATTAGATTGTTATTTAATAGAAGAATCACAAGCCACAATACAAGAGGCTTCTTTACAATCCCAAACAAATAACCAAAATAACAAACCTATAAAAAATCTAGAAAGAGAAAACAATAGAAAGAACACAACAATAGGAGGAAAGAAAATGAAAAAAGACAAAGAAGCTTTGATTAAAAGCATTCTAAAAGACATAATCTTACAGTACTAAAATGAAACAAAAGTCATCAAATTTTGATTGAATAATATCCAAGCTAAGAAGAATAGCTTACAAGTTTTTACAGCTACTTTAAAGCAAAGTATCTGGTTACCAAAGAATAGATCATGTAAAAACGTTCAATTATTTTTAGCAAATATGCTAGTATATAGTCTTTCAGGAAGCTTAGCAGAAGAAAAAGCTGAGTATATTAAAAGAATTCTTGATGAAAATAAACATATCAAGAAAGTTGAAGAAAAATTCAAAAATAGAAACCCTTAGATGGAAGTAGTCTTTAACTGTAATTTTGGAAGAAACTCAGCAATTAATAGAATCAAGAAAAAAGAAGGTGACTAGTTGATTTTAATTTCAGAAGAAAAGAAAGATACCAAATTGAGCTGAAGAAAACAAAACAAAAAGCTAAAAGAAAGACAGTATTCTCACTAAAGAAATGAAAACCCTGGAAGAAAAATACTATATTTGATAAAGGAAAAAGCAATCTTAACAATAATGAAAACCTTTATAAAAAAAAATCAACTAACGAAGAAAAAATACGATTATAAAAGACATATAAACATAAATTGCATTATAGTTTGAATCTATTAGTAGATATAAAGATGCAAGAAATCAAGTATATATATAAAAAATTAGGAAAGATAGAAGATATGTATATTAAGTAAAGAAATAGTAAAGCACTCTCAGTAATAGAATTTATTACAAAGATTGAAGTTAAAGATATATATATTATAAGCTCTTCTAATAGATAATGAGAGATTGGCTAAGATATCAAAAAAGAAAGAAGATTACAAAGAAAGAGATCAAAGACATAAATTTGCAAAGCAGGTAACATTAAAAAAAGACCTATGGTCTTTTCTTAACAAAGTGTCTTTATTATATTCTGTTATACAAATTTGTAGTAAAATTAATTAGAATTACAGAAAACCTTTCAAAAACCCTCCTTCTTAGATATCTAAAAGATAGGAAAGCTAAAGCGGTTTGTATCCCTAAAAGGAGAAGCAGATTTATAAAACAAATAGCAAAAGTAACTTTTGCTTCAGAGAAAGAAATAAGAGAAACACAGAATAAGTTAGTAAAATATAATAATTTACAACTCTATTGAGTACAAAGTAGACAAGGAAGAAGTACAGAAAAGGAGAGTAGCTCAGAAAAGGAAAAAAGATATAACAACAGACCAAGAGAAAGAAAACAAGTATCTAACAATAAGAAGGATATATTATCAAGAGAAAGAAGATACAGCAGAAGATCATCCTCAGTAGATAAAAGAGAACAAATACCAAATAGAAAAATAGTAGTTGAGAAGATAAAAGAAGCTAGAGAGATAAAAGAAAAAACTCTAATAAAAGAAGAGAATTAAGAAGCTCAAGCTATAAATATTCCTTAGAAGAAAAGAGTCTAGCAGCAAAAAATTGACAAACATCATACAATATTGCAGAAGATCATGTGACATTTAGAAAAATTTAGTAAGCAGCCTTTGGCTGCTTAGCACTTCTAAATTTAGAAGCACTAGTTGAATTAAAGAAGAATAGCAAAGAATCCAAACCTTTTTTGCAAACAGAGAACATCAAACAAGAGAATATTATCCTTCACTATTCAAACAGCACAAGTAGCACAAACAGAAAAGAAGTTATAAATAAAGAAGAATTAAATTTAGAGGAAAATAGAAATATTACGTATATTACAACAGAGAGTATATTTATCAAACAAAAGAACTTAACATTACAATACATAATATTAATGGTATTAAATGCAATGTATACAAACTAGAATTTGCTCTTAAGTGGGCATCAGACAACAAAATAGATATTCTAGACATTGCAGAAACAAATATTTCAAGAATTGAAAGAGAATAGCTATTAAAGCTTAATAATCCAAATATAGAAGTTTTTGGGCAAACTTAGATCGTAACAAGAAGAAAGGCTCTGGAGTTAGTCTATTAGTAAATAAATAATGAGAAAAGTATATAGAAAAAGTAGACAAAATAAGCGAGTACGTAATCTCTATAAGTTTAATACTTAAACAACTAGAGATTATAGCAATAATGCTTTATATACCACCAAATAATGATCAAGAAAAGAAAAAGGTTTATAAAATAATTGTTGAGAAATTCATTAGTAGATCTCTCAGAGTACAAATGATAATTAAGGGAAATTTTAATAATATAGTAGATCCAGAGCTAAATAGAATACAAAACACTGAAAAGAAAAAACTAACAAGAGACACTCTTTTAAATTGGCTACAAAAACAAGAGTTTTAAAATACTGTAATATTAACAAATTTTTATTAACATTTTTCTTATATATTTTCTTATATTTTATAGGAATATTATTATAGTACTATAGCATTTGATGCTATAGCACTATGGTGTGATGCTTTCTTATGATATAATTAAAATAGTTTAAACAATTATATTAAAGTAAATTAATAAAAAATTTTTGTATTTGCTTATACTATTTTTTTGTACTCATACTTATAGTATTTTTTACACTCAGCTTATAGCAATTTTTTGTACTCATGCCTATAATATTTTTTTGCACTCACATACTTACACACTTACGCACTTATACACGCACTCACACACTCACGCTTATACTAAATTTTTTTGCACTTACGCTTATACTATTTTTTTATACTCACATATATATCATTTTTTGCACTTATGCTTATACTATTAAAGAAAACAAATCAACAAAATTTCGCTTGTTATTTCACTAACATTTTATGCTATTAAAGGAAAACTATCATAATCAGGCCAAATTTGACAATAGTAACAACATATTACAAGATAATTAAATCAAATACTATATAAATATTTAAGCCAATATGAATTTCTGTAATTGGAGCAATGAGATAAGTGGAATTGATATTAGTAATGACATTTTATGTGATAATAACTAAGTTGAATATGGAACTAGAAGTACTTATTATGAAGAAGTTCAGTTAAATTTAATATTTCGTAACTGTGATACTATGATTAATAGGCTTGATGAAAATTATCAACTTGATTTCAATCTTAGAAGTCATAATGAAAATGAAAGCAATTTTATAATGAATACAGATGTTTATCAGGAGGAATTTCAGGTGGATATAGTCTTTCGTGGTTGGGATTATATAAATAATAGATTTGATATACTATAATAATAATCAGGCTGAATTCAATATTAGTAGCTGTGTATTGCATGATATAATTCAAAATGAATGTGAACAAAATGATGTGAAGTATCTTGAAAGCAATAAGTGTGATGAAATATGAGAAGATATGATCTTTTATGACTAGAACCATGCACTAAATGAAATTGAAAAGTATAAAAAAAGACAAGGATTTAGAATGCATTGTTATCATGTAGAAAAATTTCTAAATGGTGATATCCGAAGATGTACCATAGTTTGTGAACACTTTGGCCAACCTGAAACAACAAAAAGTAAAAATTCAAAGAAAGAAACAGTGTCTAAGCATGTTGTATATACATAGCTAATAAATCTCTCATGTCTAAAGAGAGATAATCCTTATCTCTTAAATTGTAATACAGGCAAATTTGTCTGTATTTATTTTTTTAAACTTTATTTTTTTAATAAAATTTCAAATATTAATTTTAGCAATATACTTTCTAATTAAAAAAGACTTTTAAAGATCTACTTTATCAACTTTATTAAAAAAATTTTTAAAATTATTAAAAAACTTTTGATTAATTAAAGTTTAAAGTTTGTATAATATTAGGGTTTAGTATTAAAAAATTTTTTAGTTTTTTTAAAATTTTATATGTTTCTGAAGCTAGAAAAAATTTTTGCTCTTAAGACAAGTATTAATTTTTACAAGTAAATTACAAAATTTATAATAATTAAAA